AAAAAAAAAACAGAGCTGCAGCTTGTGTGAAGCACTAATCATGCAACGATTGGGAAACAGTGAGAAGATCTTCTGTGTGGCATTTTATCAAACAGTAGGGGTGCAGATAGGAAGTTTTTCTGTTACAAGGACAATATTATGTACCCAACAGTTTCCTGAATTATGATGCTCTTAAACAGAGTTTTTCAGAGTTCGCTTACTTGAATATACGTGAGAACCAAAACTGTAATAATGCCCCTATATATTAATCTAGAACGCGCTGAGCTACGTGGCTTCTGGTGCTTTGGAATCCTATGTGACAAAATTACATGCTTGGCTTGGGTAAATTTTAATTTTATTCCAAACTAAAAATAATTAGGTTTCGATTACCATAAATATGTTGATTATTTATGATAATGTTACATGTGTTAATTGCATTTTAATATCATTCCTTATTATAACTATTGAATTGTATATATATTTTAAAAGTTAACAACTTTTGTATTTTTTATCAGTTTTACATATGTAATAATTAATATATCAAATTAATCTTCTTTTGATAAGTTTCGATTTAACATCCATATTGTATGTATAAAAAAATAATTTATATTTATCTTTATAACAATAATAAATTATTTTTAATATTAATTAGAAAAATAAAATTATTTATTAACTAATATATTTATATTTCAAGTAGTTATATGATATAAGTTATAAAAACTAATATAGTATAACACATGTAAGTTATAAGTAATACATATTATTCTAAAATATATAGTAATATATTTTTTTTATAAAAAAGTAAACTAAATTTAATATAGTTTTCTCATTAATTTTAAAATTTAAAAATAATTTTTTAACAAGCACCCGTGTAATACACGGGTGTTGTACTAGTTACTTTTATTCTTCAAAAAATTCTATTTTGGAAAAAAAAACATAAGTTAGGAGAATTTTGAATAGTGGTGATTCATGCAATAACTTGGAAAATATTTATCAAATATTTACTATGTTAATATAGTATTTTTATATTTACAATTTTTTTTTTTTTGAAATGAATTTCAAATGTAAACAAATATTATCTTAATTGAATGATAAATTGAAATTCAAATATATGAACTAAACACCACTAGTCACTACCACTTAATTCCAATTTTAACTAACCCCCATTTTAATCAACAAAAAATCATTCTAGCTTAAACCAACACGTGTCACATCTACAGCCCGTCACCAAGCCCGACTCTTCATGCACAGAGCCACGTCTACCCTTCTCTCTCTCTCCTCTCTCCCTCACTTTCTCTGACTAATTCTTCACACAAAACTACCTCAAAACCCGAACTCCCTCTCTCTCTCTCTCTCTCTCTCTCTCTCTAAACTAACGACCCTTTTAACTCAAAGCACCGAAAAAGCCAATCTTGAGAAAAAAAAATGGTGAAGCTAGCGTCGGCCCGAGAATCCCGCATGTACGGGCCAAGACTGGCCCGAAACCGTTCGGAGTACATGAACGCGGGCGTTTACGTGTTCGCCACGATCCTGCTGATGGGCGGCTTCGCGGCCCAGTTCTCGAGCGAGCCCAAATCCGGCCTTGTCCTCCTCCTCATGGGCTTTCTCATCGTGATGGCCGTGAACCTCCACGACCTTGCGGCCCACCTCGCCGGAATAGATTTCCGGCTGCCGTTGGTGGAGTTCGATATCCAGCTGGCGCTCGTAGAGTTTGCGGTGCCTCTGGTTTACAGTCTCGGGGCGCTTCTCTTTTTCTTGGCCACTCTTTTTATTCTCGTTCAGGTATATATGTAACAAAAATTGTTTTAATTTGTATCAATTTGTGGTAGTAAGTGGGAAAGTTTGAATAGATCTTGAAAATTTGGTTATTATTAAGAATGAATGAGAAATTAGTTACATATATGTTGTTGGGTCCATTTCATTTAGCCTATCAATGTAAGTCCCCATTGTTGGAAATATTATTACAACACCCATAGCCTACTAATGACTTAAAATTGTTCCGATTAATATATTTTTTTTGTTGATGATTAATGGACTTTTCAGGCAGGAAAAAAGCAAGAGCATTTTAAATTGGAGCGTGTTGCTTTGAGCATGTTGATCGCGGGTCCCGCTCTGTGGCTACTCGGGTCGATCCACAACTCGTGCCAGGTGTACGAGAGGGCGGGCGGGCACGTCCAGGTCTTGCAGCAGAGTGTTCTTATCCCGTTTCTAATGTCGAGCCTCTTGTTTCTCGTGGGTTCGGTTCTCAACAGTCGAGAACAAGTCGGGCATGGTCACCATGGCTTGAAGTTGTTGGTACTCACAATTTTATACACCAACTTCAAAAATGATTGCTTGATTAATGGCCATATATATGTTAATGTAATTAAGTTATTTGGTCGATTGACATGGAGCTGGTCTAGTGAATTGTAGTATTATTTAGTTGTTATAAGATATGAGAGAATGCAGTTTTAATTTTGAATTAGCTCGATCGAATTCAAAATAAAGGTGCTTATCATTTTGTCATGATACCTACATGGTATTTCTAATTTTGAGAAATTTCGATAGTACACCTCGATTCCAATGCTTAATTTTTATTTTTTTTTTTGTTCGCAGGGCGAAACGTGGGTATGGTTGGGATTTTTCGGCAGCCTAATACTTTTCATCGGGGCATTGGCGAATGTAGTTAAAGTTTTCAAAATGCAACAAATGGACGGGCTAAGGCTAGAGAAACTCCGTGGTGGGGCCCAAGAGCGTCTCGTTCAGCTACGAGAAGGTCGTTCGCCATTAATTGCGGAGGAAGATAGAATAATTAAGGGGAAGGAAGAAGAAATATGGCGGGCCCCGGCAGTGCATGTGGTGGGCCGATCAGGTGAGGGCGGGTCAAGGGAAGTACCGACACCTTACAGAGACGTGCTTGTTGGCCAGGCATGAATGCTTATAAGTATTTGGATACCGAAAACAAGAACGAAGGAAAAGAAAAAAGAAAAAAAAAAAAAACATGCATGATTCTCTAAATTGGTTTTATGTTGTCATTGTATTTTGTCATGGATTTTCTTGATTTGTTTTATTGAATTGGTTTGGATTGAAATTTGTTTGAGATGGTGAATCATGTGTACAGTTACAAACTTACAAGTTAGATGTTGAAAGCATATACTTTGCTCTGCTCATGATATTATGGATTGTTGCTTTATGATTAAGATTTTCAATAATTTATATGCATGTGAAAATCCAAAGTTGGATTTTAGATTTACTCATAAAGTAGTGGTGGTAAATTTGGATTTGAGATTTACGACCTTCAAAATGCGCAGGTAGTGGTGGTAAATCGTATAATCGTGTTGGTTTTTAGATTTACGGCATTCAAAATTTGGATTTTCGACAGCAGTGGTAAGGTAGTGGCGGTAAATCTTGTAATGGTGTTGGAGTTTATATTTATGGCCTTCAAAATTCGAAGTGTAATGGTGTTGGATTGGATTTTAGATTTATGGCCTTCAAAATTCAAATTGTTTTAGGTAGTGGCAATCAAATTATCGTGTCGGATTTCTAGTCCAAAAATGGAAGTTTTCTTGGGTGTTGGATTTCTTGTGTAATACAGAAGTCAAAAGTATTAGGTAGTCGTGTAAATTGTAGTAGTGTTGGATTTCTTGTCGAATGCAACATGAATCGACCGAATAGAATAATTTTCAAAGGTTAAAGTTGTTAAAAGAATCGAAACGAGTTGCTCATGATTTTGGCTCTACTCAGCTCAATTTGTTCGACCAATTAGTCGAGGTCGAGCTCGTTTAGTTAACGGGACGGACTTTGAATAACTCGTCTTCTTAAAGTTCGTTAATGCTTGAAAATAAAATTTACTTTGATATAAATTTTTATATATAGTTTGTTAAAGCTCGAACTCGATTTACCCCTTATCATAATAATAATTATAAATTAACGATGTGTGGTTAACATGTCATATAATTTACGGTATATCAATTTATTAAGAACTATATAAAATTAGCGTGTTCAAGAGAACGTAAAATTTGTATATTTAAACAATTAAAAACTCCTAAAATATTGTATTAACATATGTAAAATTATCTATAATTTTCTGTATTATAATTAAAATATGTGAAGTCA